AATAAAGAGCAAATGGGGAGCGGCGCTAGTACTTGTAACGATAAAACTGACGTTGCCAAATGGCATACCCTTGAACTTAATAACACCAAAGGGGGCGAAAAGGGCAAAAAATATTTATTTGCCCCCCTTTTTTTTCGAATTTTTCAAAATTGGTCCGTTTCGGCCGTGTGGGGTATCATTTCACGCCAAATTTACTCAGAATTACGATTCCGTGCTCGCTTTTGACGTACCTGTTCAAATAAGCGAGAAAAATGCAAATTTGCCTACCCCCCTTTTTTTTTAATTTTTCAAAATTGGTCCGTTTCGACCATGTTGGGTGTCACTTCACGCGGAATTTCCTCAGGACTACGGTTCCGTATTCGCTTTTGACGTATCTCGTCAAATAAGCGAGAAAAACGCAAGTTTGTCTGCCGCCCTTTTTTTTTAATTTTTCAAAATTGGTCCGTTTTCCACTGTGTTGGGTATCACTGCACGCGGAATTTCCTCAGGATTACGATTCCGTATTCGCTTTTGACGTATCTTGTCAAATAAGCCAGAAAAATGCAAATTTGTCTGCCCCCCTTTTTTTTCGAATTTTTCAAAATTGGTCCGTTTTCCACTGTGTTGGGTGTCACTTCACGGGGAATTTCCTCAGGATTACGATTCCGTTTTCGCTTTTGACGTATCTTGTCAAATAAGCGAGAAAAATGCAAATTTGTCTGCCCCCCTTTTTTTTCGAATTTTTCAAAATTGGTCCGTTTTCCACTGTGTTGGGTGTCATTGCACGCGAAATTTCCTCAGGATTAGGATTCCGTATTCGCTTTTGACGTATCTCTTCAAATAAGCGAGAAAAATGCAAATTTGTCTGCCCCCCCTTTTTTTTCGAATTTTTCAAAGTTGATCCGTTTCGATCATGTTGGGTATCACTTCACGCGGAATTTCCTCAGGATTACGATTCTGTATTCGCTTTTGACGTATCTCTTCAAATAAGCGAGAAAAATGCAAATTTATCTGCCCCCCTTTTTTTTCGAATTTTTCAAAGTTGATCCGTTTCGACCATGTTGGGTATCACTTCACGCGGAATTTTCTCAGAATTACGATTCTGTATTCGCTTTTGACGTATCTCTTCAAATAAGCGAGAAAAATGCAAATTTTTCTGCCCCCCTTTTTTTTCGAATTTTTCAAAATTGGTCCGTTTTCGAGCATGTTGGGTGTCATTGCAAGCGGAATTTCCTCAGGATTACGATTCCGTATTCGCTATTGACGTATCTCGTCAAATAAGCAAGAAAAATGCAAATTTGTCTGCCCCCCTTTATTTTCGAATTTTTCAAAGTTGGTCCGTTTCGACCATGCTGGGTGTCATTTCACGCGGAATTTCCTCAGGATTACGATTCCGTCTTCGCTTTTGACGTGTCTCTTCAAATAAGCGAGAAAAATGCAAATTTGTCTGCCCCCCTTTATTTTCGAATTTTTCAAAATTGGTCCGTTTTCCACCGTGTTGGGTGTCATTTCACGCGGAATTTCCTCAGGACTACGATTCCGTATTCGCTTTTGACGTATCTTGTCAAATAAGCCAGAAAAATGCAAATTTGTCTGCCCCCCTTTTTTTTCGAATTTTTCAAAATTGGTCCGTTTTCCACTGTGTTGGGTGTCATTTCACGGGTAATTTCCTCAGGATTACGATTCCGTTTTCGCTTTTGACGTATCTTGTCAAATAAGCGAGAAAAATGCAAATTTGTCTGTCCCCCTTTTTTTTCGAATTTTTCAAAATTGGTCCGTTTCGACCATGTTGGGTGTCATTTCACGGGGAATTTCCTCAGGATTACGATTTCGTCTTCGCTGTTGACGTATCTCTTCAAATTAGCAAGAAAAATGCAAATTTGTCTGCCCCCCTTATTTTTTCGAATTTTTCAAAATTGGTCCGTTTCGACCATGTTGGGTGTCATTTCACGCGGAATTTACTCAGGACTACGATTCCGTCTTCGCTTTTGACGTATCTCTTCAAATAAGCGAGAAACACGCGAATTTGCCCCCCTTTTTTTTCGAATTTTTCAAAATTGGTCCATTTCGACCATGTTGGGTGTCATTTCACGCGGAATTTCCTCAGAATTACGATTCCGTTTTCGCTTTTGACGTATCTCTTCAAATAAGCGAGAAAAATGCAAATTTGTCTGCCCCCCTTTTTTTTCGAATTTTTCAAAATTGGTCCGTTTCGACCATGTTGGGTGTCATTTCAAGCGGAATTTCGTCAGGATTACGATTCCGTATTCGCTTTTGACATATCTCTTTAAATAAGCGAGAAAATGCAAATATTTTTATGGTAATGTTTATTTAAAACCGGGTATTAATGCGTTTCAACACAAATAACGAAACACGTATTTAAGCATTTTCGAAGATTCGACCCCTAAGGGAGTGAAAAGTAGTGTCTAATTTTGAGCGGCTAAGTTTGTATAGGAACAATATTTCTACTATAAATTGAAATTTTTACATGAAACTTGGTATTAATGTTCTTCAACACAAATAAGGAAATCCATATTTAAGCATTTTCTAAAATTCAACCCCTAAGGGGGTGAAATGTGGAGGCTAAATTTGTATGGGATAATATTTCTATTGTATATTTACATTTTTACGTGAAGCTTAGTATTAATGCTCTTCAACACAAATAACGAAACACGTATTTAAATAATTCCTAAATTCAACCCTTAAGTGTGTGAAAAGTGGTGGCTAACTTTATATGGGAAAATTATTTCTATTATAAATTTTTGACGTGGAATTTAGTATTAATGCATAATGAAACACCTATTTAAGCATTTTCCGAGACTCAACCCCTAATGGGGTGAAAGGTATTAGTTAAAGTTGTATGGGAAAAGTATTTCTATTGAAAATTTAAATTTTTACGTGAAACTTGATTTGAATTAATACTCTTCAACACAAACAATGAAACCCCTATTTAAGCATTTTCCAAGAATCAACCCCAATAGAGAGTGAAATGTGGAGGATAAGTTTGTATGGGAAAAATCTCGTAATGCTCTTCACTACAAATAATTTTCCTGACACCTGGTATATCGGAAATAATTGATGGTAATGGACAATGTGATGTCATATATATTGATTTCGAAAAAGCTTTCGACAAAATAGATCATTGTTTATTACTGCAAAAGCTCTGTAATATTGGCTTCACAAACCGCGATCAGGGTCGTACTTACAAATTTGTGACAAGTTTAACTGAATTTATAATTTTCCAAAATTTTCAATTTTTGAAAACCTTTATCTTATCGGTAAAGTCAATAAGGCGCTGTCAATTTATTTTATCACACGATTAAATGATAATATAATCAAAACCTCAAAATCCCGCGATAATGCACCACTAAATACTGGATCAGATAAAAATTTTTAATGTGCTTTTTATAAACTGGATGTACGCATTTCAGGTAAATTTAGCACTTTCTGTGTAGAAAAAACTGAGTGGGTGAATGAAGCTTGATCAATATATAAAAACTGTTCAAACTTTGAGAAAAAGTGCGTCCTCATTTAATAATAAAATAAGCTATAATTAAAAACATATACCAGTAATCCAGTGTACATAAACCGTCTGATAATGCTTACTTAATACCAATATGGCTGTAAACAAAGCCAACAGAACAAACAAATGTGAGCATAAGGGACAAATTAACATAAATGGATTACAAACTTTCGTCGGATTGTTATGGTAGAAAACGCCAGACGAAGCCCACTTTTTACCAGAATAAAACCCACACTGTTTATACTTCTTGAAGTAAACAAACAAACGAAACAAAAATCTGCGGAAGTGAATGTCTTTTCTTGTTCTGTCTAAGTGCAAATCCGCACAACGATTGCTATTTGTATGTTTATTTTCGAACAGAACGAAATGTAAAATATACGTTCTACGGCTACGCTACAAAAATACACGAATGCACTTTTTGTGGAACTCGAGAAGCCATAACTTAAGAGCTTTCGTGTTTTAACTCTCAGCGGAGCGACGAGGTTGCGTCATTGGCGAAATTGCAACAAGGGCTGTAAAACTGCATGATACGAACTAATAAAAATTCTGGTGGATGCGCCGGCTAACAGGAACAAGTTATCGATTGTAATGAAAACTTATGAAATAAAAACCGAAAGGACTCTTCAGTTTTAACGATTGTAGCAGGATTTTGTTACAAGTTTAACTTTGCTCGGTAGGAAACTCAAGTACATGTTATTTATTCTTTTGTGATAAAATCACAGCACTTTTAAAAATGATACACATGAAAATAATACCCTATTCCCCGGTTCCATATTCTCAGAATATAATACAAATATTTCACAACGTACACAATAACGATGTAAGAAATATTCCTCAACTATATATTCTCCTCCATCTGGGAATGTACAATAAATACATTATTTATATATCGAAGGAGAACAGTGAGACTACCCTTATAAAAGTTTCAAAAAGCCACGCCCAAGCCCGGTTGTAAACACATCGAACTTTCTGCCCGAAAATGATTATTAAAATTACCCTAAAACAGCGAAAATTTATGGCCACTCCTGCACACCCCTTGAATACTAAGCAACATTTTATTTAATCTCCTCGAACAAAAAAGGTGGTTGTTATTCATTTTCATTGTAAAAGGAAATGTTTGTTGTATCTTTTGCAGCTTGACGACGTTTCCTCACGGAATACAAAATGTACAAAAAGTGGAGTGTCGGAAGGCGAGACAAACGAATTTCGCTCTTGTTTAAATACAATGTTCCACGGCATTATTTTAAATTACGTGCGGTTAAACAGACCACGACGCCGTTAGGTGCATTTGTAATACAGAGACTGAAATAATTTGACTGTGCGGAATCTGGAACTCGCTAGTTAAACTAGAACACCCAGGAATATTTAATTTCACGTTTTCTCACCCCAATTCTCTATTGTCGCATGCCGTGCAGACGCGGCATAATCCAACAATATTTTCTATTTTTCCGCGGCCGTAAACTTGTGACTTTATTTTAGCGTGTTTTTTCAATTCCAGGGAACGTATTTGTGATAGCAGCCATCCTCCTCGAACGAAATCTCCAGAACGTGGCAAACTACTTGATCTTATCCCTGGCTGTGGCGGATCTGCTCGTAGCTTGTTTGGTGATGCCCCTAGGGGCAGTGTACGAAGTTAGCCAGGAGTGGACTCTGGGGCCTGAATTATGTGACATGTGGACGTCCAGCGACGTCCTTTGCTGCACGGCTTCAATCCTGCACCTGGTCGCCATAGCGCTGGACAGGTAATGTAATCTCTTTTAATCGACGTAAAATAAAATCTGTAACGTTCCCTCACAAAGAATCGCTTTGACGGGATTATTTTCATGTTGCGGTTTAGCCCAGGTCGCCCTTTTTTGTTAGCCGAAACCTAATCGCCCCCCGCGTCGCACAAAAATTAAAAAATCCAATACAACGAACGTGATAATAAATCTTTTTACATAATCAAATTTAACGCTGCTTTAGACGCTGGGGTATAATTTGATCGACAGAAACACAATTATCCTGAAAGACTGTTTCAGAAGTTTGTATTATCTACTGGGATTGAGTTATTCATTAAAGTGTCGAAGAATTCTTACCTGATTTCATTATGTTTAATTGAGTTAAGAAAAGAGATGAGGGAGACGCTTTAATTTCGTGCTCGGAAATAAAAACGAAGCCTGTGTTCGGTATTAAAAAAAACGAACCGGATTAGCTTTACATTTTTAGTCTTACGTACGTGGATTTACTTTTCCAAAAATTAAATAACCGCAAAAAATATAGAGAGATGTGGAATTATTTGAGAAAATTTTCGCTCGGGGAATGAAATCTAATTAAGTTTAGAGAGTAAATGCGCAAAGTGTCTAAACGAAATTAATTGAGATAAAGTGTAACGTGTACAGTGTGTTTTATTAGAGAGAACCACAAGCAACCCTCGTCATTTATCCGACACAAAACCAAAATTAAGATCGAGGTACAGACACTAAATTCCGACAATATTATTATTTCCTGATTAATGCGCGCTTATTTCAGTCGCGCGCATCCATATCACCCTGAACAAACATCAAAAAACCGGGGCTCAGTACGAAACCTTGTCTCACCGGTTATTTTAGTAAAAACTAGTTTAATGACACAATGTGGACTTTGGTCAGTTAATAAATAACACAATTATTTCAAACCGACTATCAGCAACAGCTTGTGTGGACAGTTGGCTAAATAACACACCTATCAATCATTCAGTCGAACGTAGATATCTAGAAGCGCCTAAAATACACTCGGATTAGCCGAAAAACAAACCACAAAATGTGTACTTCTCTCGCGTAATCAATATTCCAAATACAAAAATTTATGTACCTGCCTATAAGAGCGAGATCAGCATAAATATGGATTTGTATCATAACCAATAGGCGAACTTCCCGCTCGAATGACTTTTTCTCTGTGTATTTGCATAAAGCAGTCAAGTGTAAAACGCCATTTGAACAGTATTCTCTCGTTTTACACATACACTGTCAAAGCAGACTTTCACTACAACCACGAAATTCCCACCAAATATTGAAATCTCCTCCCCAACGAGATAAATTAAAGGGAAAAGCGGCGGATTTTAGATAATGTTATGAAAAGTTTAAAACGAGACATCTGCATCCGCCAATCAAAATCCACGACAGCCGATGCGACTCGATAACCCTTAATCATACTCCCTTTATTTTATTTAACTTTCTGGCACACTTGACTGGTTAACGTTTCACTTAACAACCCTTTAAATAGGTACTCGAAACGGATGTAACGATATTAGGGAAAGTTTTATCTCTGCCAGGAACTGGGTTTTATCGAGACCGCTGTGCAGGAACGATAAAAAGACCACAAGATTTTTTTAAAAGGCCTCTCAAGTGCACACTAGTTTCCTTTACATGAACGTACTTAATGGAGGGAAATTTTATATGCCTCCTGCTAAATACACATTGTGATAAGCACGAAAAATTGAAATATAGAAGAACTGAAAACTCAAAAAATCGGAAAAAATTAATAATTTAAAAATTGAAAAGTTAAAATTGAGAAACCGAAAAACTGAAAAATTACAAAATTGAACGAAATATCAAAAAATTAGGAAATTAAAAAATTGAGAAACAGAAAAGTCAAAAAAGCAGAAAAATCGAAACATTGTAAAATTCAAAAATTGAGACATCGAGAAATCGAAAAATCAAGGAGTCGAAAAATCGAGAAGTCGAAAAATCAAAAAATTGAGAAACCGAAATAGGCCAAAATCGAAAAATCGAAAACTTAAATATGGAAAAATTGATAAAGCGAGAGATTGAATAATCAAAACATCGAAACATCCGCATCTCAATATATTAAGATCTCAAAAAATTTAAAAATTCGGAAATTTAAAAAATTAAAATATAGAACTGGAAACTCGAGAAACCGAAAAATCTAGAAATTTAAAAATTAAAATATGGAAAAGTTGAAAAATTGAGAAATTGAAATAAAAAACAAAAAACTGAAAATCCAAAAATAAAAAATAGAAAAATCTTGAAGTCGAAAAATTGAAGAATCGAAGTATTGAAAAATATCAAAACTGAAAGAAATATCCAAAAATTGAGAAATCGACAAACCAATAAAGCGAAGTCGAAAAATCGAAGAATTGAAGAACTGAAAAATCGAAACTTCGAAAAGTGGGAAAATCAAAAATAGATTAATTGAGAAATCAGAAAACTGAAAATTTAACCCAAAAATTTGAAAAATTGAAAAATTTAAATACTGAAGAACTGAAAAGTCAAAAAATCGAGATATCGAAAAAACTAAAGTTTAAAACAATGAATAATTAAAATATCGCAAAATTGAAGAATCGAGAAATCCAATTCATTTCGAAAAATTGAAAAATCGGGACATTGAAAAATTGGAAAATCCAGAAATTGAAAAGCTCAAAAGAAAAAAATCGAAAAACCGAGAAATCCAAAAATCGAAACATCGAAAAATTCAAAAACTGAGACTTCGAGAAATCGAAAAATCGGAGGAGCGAGAAATTGAGGAGTCGGAAGCCGAAAAGGAAAGTTAAAAATTGAAAAATTGAGAAACTGAACAATCAAAACAACGAAACATCTGAATTCGATAAATTGAGAAATTAAAAAATTGAATACATAATCGAAAAATTTTAGAAAAGAAAAACTGGAAAATCGAAAATTAAAATTCAAAAAATCGAAAAATTGAAAAATTGAAATATAGAAGAACTGAAAACTCGAGATATCGAAACACCTAGAATTTTAAAGAATGAAATATTAAAATATCGAAAAGTTTAAAAATTGAGAAATCGAAGCATTAAACAGTCGCAGAATTGAAAAATCTAAAGTTTACAATAAATTGAAAATTCAAAAAGTAAAAAATCGAGAAATCAAAAAAATCCATCAATTCAAAAATCGAAAAGTCGAAAAATTGAAATATTGAAAAATCTCATAACTGAAAGAAATTCAAAAAATTGAGAAATTAAAAAATTGGAAAATTGAGAAATTAAAAAACCAAAAAATCGAAAAATTGAAGAATTGAAGATGTGAAAAATCGAAACTTTAGGAAGTCCAGAAATGGACAAATAAAAAAAATAGTTTAGAAATCGGCAAACTGAAAATTTAGAAACGTGAAAATTTGAAAAATTGAAACATCGAAAGATTGAGAAATCGAAAAATAAAAAAATCAAGAAATAGAAAATTTAAAGAATGGAGGAATCGGAAAAGCCCAAAATTGAAATATTGAAAAATTGAGACATTTAAACTTGAAAAATCGAGAAATCGACAAGCCGAAGAATCCCAATAGCGCATTTAGGTATAAATCACAAGATCAGGACTATTCTACTTTTTAAAATTTAAATAACATTATCAATTGGAAAATGTTGATTTTTTTTCCAAAAATCTTGACGTCTAAGGTGAAATGAAAACTCGACACGGCTGCATAAACCGTAATCGGGGCGAAACTACAATTTTACTATTGTAAAATTTGGAGATTGCGTCATTTCATTGTTCATTGTTCATGACAAATTTTGGTGAGTGTAATTTGATAATACAATTTCAAATATAAATTTTGTCATTCGGGAACGTTATGTATTAAATCGTTAAGATGTTCAAGAACTTTGTTCACTTATTCGTTGTAAAGTCCAATGGTCGAAATGGGTTAGTTCTTCGTTTAGTTTCAGATCAACTCTAACGAATATCGGTTTATATATAGATAAATCGCTTAAGACTTGCGTCTGGTTCGGTTTAGCCCTATACTAAATACATTGAAAACATCGTCGCGGTTTCCGTAGTTGCATTTTAAAAATATGAGATATATCGCTTTAAAAAAATTATATTTCGAATTAACAAACTTCAGTCCAGGGGACCTCCATATTTATTTTCATATCTAGTATGCAGTTTTTACAAAAAAAAAATTATAAAGTTGAACAACTTTTACATCACATTTTAACCGGCACATTGATGCATTTTTTGACGAAGTGCTGAAGTTTTTTGCATTCTGAGATAGGAGGTCCCCTGGGGAAAAGTGTCAGCTTTCTTTTGATACCATTTATAATATTAAAAAATCCACGACTGAGGTAACTAACTCGCGAAAAGTCAAAATCTATTGAAACGAGAAATCGGCATTAAACGAGCTGTGATGCGGTAGCAGAATACAGGTTTACTTAGATTCTGACTTGGTTGGAGATTTCAGTATTTTAAAAATGCAATTCCGGAAACTACGACGATGTTTTCAATGTATTTAGTATTGGGCGAAACCAAACCAGACGCTACCCTTAAAGCCGATATTGGCCTGAGTGTGCTTTGGTCTGTAGATCAAACAAGTTCTCAGGTGACGAAAAATTGCATGTGGGAGGAGACTTCGGATTACAAATCGTGCCAAGAAAGACATATTTGGGATAGATGGATTTTCAGGTGCTTGACTAGCGGTAATTTTAAATTGTTTGCTGTCGTTCGCGAAGTGAAGAACACAATTTCATTAAAGTGATAATTATAAAATTATCATAATCACTATTGGTATTAATTAACACAAAATGGCGCGCAAGTTATCAGTTGATTTCGTTAATAAATTCATAGAAACCTATATGGGATTTTTTCATGCCTTAGAAAATTAAAAAGTATAAAATACAATAACAAAAATTTTAAAATGCGGTTTACGAAAAATTAGTTGACCTGTGCAAAGAAGAAAATTTTGGAAACGCTGACAAATATAACATCTTAAAAAAAAAAACACTTGAAGAAGTGCTTTCGGCGTAATATTTTTGATGCTCGCGTGAACAAAATACTCTATGTCAGTGTGCAGTGCGCAAAGAGTTAACTGTGCAGATCTAGCCGAAAATCCGAAAACCAAATCGCTGTGTGTAGGGCCAGCATAACGGAAGTAATAAATCATCCCATGGGTTGAAGAACATTGGGTCAGTGCAATGATGTCGGTGTTATATATCCCGAGAGGGGCCCAATACACCCAATAAAATCGAACAGACAAAATAAAGCTTCAAACAGAATTATTTTTATACTAAAATTCTGAAGGTTATTAACTGCACATTTTATTTATTTATTTATTTATTTTATCTTGTTTTCGAACTATAATAAATATTTCAAACAATGTCTGTAACTTATTTTAATGTAAATTATATTCATGTGGTTAACAAAATCAGATGTAATATTAGTGTGATTTTGACCTTATTCTAGATTTTATTACAGCAGAACGGCGTATCCTTTTTAAATTTTAGAAGTTACGGAAACTAGTTCAAGAAACAATTAGTTATCTCGTATTTTTGGAACAAAATCTACCAAAATGTCCGATAACAGCAATTGTTTTTCATAGAAACAAACAGTCTTCAAAGCAGCCTTTAACAACTCGATATTACAAACATGCCTCTTAAGTTCTTTATGCGTTTTTTTCTCTCTTGTAATTATTTGTAATGTTAACGCCGAAAGTTCTGTTATTTACTTTGAACATATATTTTCATTTTTTGTTAATATTTTTGTAACACCACGAATCTACATTTTACTTAAAATCTTGTTTTACTTTAATCTTACAAAACTAAACAATTATACCAGTTTAAAAACCCTTGGAAAGTTTCTGTCAGCCTTCAGATATAGTCATATAAAAATAGACGTCAAATTCATTTAAATTCAATGTTTGATGGCGCCATCTGATGTAGAGTAAAATAAACCTAATACGTTGGCTCACTGTAGTGAAAATGCGCGTTGACAAAAAATTTGTCCCACGCCCCCTAGATTCCTTGTCCTAAAGCTCACTATTTAGGCGAAGTAAAATTTGTATTAGGTTGTCCAACTATAATATACTTAAACAATGATAGTAGTTATACAGTGGGGCTCCTAGCTCAGTTTGACCTCATTTGACCTGAGCTAGGAGCCCCACTACTTTTTATCGAACGTTTGTCAGCGGCTTGTGCTCGGTTGACCTGACCCCGGTGACGGTCGTGTTTTGCGCAGACTCGATCTATACACTAAATAACATAACATTAAAATATGTTTTATTTAAACGCAAAAGAACTGTCAGGTGTGGGATTCGAACCCACGCTACCTTGAGTACACTTAATTGTTTTATTTATAAATCTCTACTTAAGCTATATGAGGGGATAGTCGGGATAGAACTCGATAACTTTCGATAAGTGGCGCTCCTAGCTCAGGTCAAATGAGGTCAAACTGAGCTAAGAGCCCCGCTATATAACCACTCTTAATAATAATAACAATAAAAGGTCTTTATTCTGCATTAAAGAGGAGTCATTTAATACCAACTTTCAGGTATTGGGCCGTCACCAACATAGACTACATCCACCAGCGCACCTCCAAGCGAATCGGCATGATGATCTTCATCATCTGGCTCGTGTCCTTCTTCGTCTGCATCGCCCCTCTGCTGGGCTGGAAGGACCCTCAGTGGAACGACCGCATCCGCGACAAAGAATGCCTCATCAGCCAAGACCTCTACTACCAGATTTTCGCCACGGCTTCCTCCTTCTACCTTCCACTCCTCGTCATCCTCATCCTCTACTGGCGGATATTCCAGACGGCCCGTAAACGCATACGAAGGCGGCAAGTGATCGGAAGTAGCGCCAACCCCTCGTCCCAGAACCCGGCAGCCGGAGGCATAGCAGGCGGGCTTGCGGCCGCCAGCGGCACCGGAGGCATAGCCGCCGCAGTCGTGACAATCATAGGCCGCCCCCTTCCGACCATCTCCGAAACGACAACCGCGTTCACCACGGTCTCTTCCAACAACTCCAGTCCCGAAAAGACTTCTTTTGCGAACGGCCTCGAGGCTGACATGCCCACGACTACCGACTGCAGCGTGACGTACCAGCCGCAGCACTACCCGGTGAAGAGAAAATCGCGAGATAGTGCCGACTCGAAGCGCGAGCGGAAAGCGGCGAAGACTCTAGCTATAATAACTGGTGCTTTCGTTCTATGTTGGCTGCCGTTCTTCATCATGGCGGTGCTGCTGCCGATCAACTCCAAGTTGTTCCAGAAGTACGTCATCTCGATATTCCTTTGGCTGGGGTAGGTGATCAATCTTCTTTAAAAATTTAAGTCGGATTCATAAACCGCAACTACAGGAATACGTTGTTTTATGAAATTTTGGTGTTTTTCTGTGAAGGTACTGCAACTCGATGCTGAACCCTATCATCTACACCATCTTCAGCCCCGAGTTTCGGCACGCCTTCAAGAAGATCCTGTGCGGTCGTAACTACGCCAGGAGGAACAAACATTTCGGAATCCGGCACTTTCAATGATGGCGGCAAAGTGATCGTTTACCTTCGGATACGGAGCATCCGGTGGCCGCCCGGCTGGCGGCCAGTGTGGCGGCGACGGCGGTCGCGTCAGGTCCGAGAAACGTCACATTCAAGTGTGACTGATCCGACGAGAAACGATCACGCAGTTCTGTGTCACCGATAGACTGTGAGAGCAGCAGCGGCGAGCACGAGCACGGACTCGGGCGAAGGGTCATGCTCGAGCTGCGGCCATTTTAAACGGGTATACGGACAATGAGGGTGTTCTCCACTCACGACTGAATCGTTATCAAATGACCACTATCGTTTCGTCAAAGCTCATTTATTTGCACGTTTTTTACCAGAGTTTTATTTAAGTACGAGAGACCAATATTGTATTTTTATCAAAGAAATGGAAGACTAACAACTAACGTTAAGACTATGTAAGATAGAGTAGAATCAAAATGTACATAGCTTATTTATCGAGGGTGAATGATACTTATAGGACTATTAGATAATGTTACACTGTAAATGCAATAAAGTTATACACTGAAGATTTTATTTGTGATGTTATTAGGTCGTATATAGTAAAAATGTGATGTACAATCAACCAGGGAAAACATCGGGCCATAATCTACTCACTGAGTTAATTCTTTCGGTTTTGTTTCGACTGGTCCTATCGGTAAATTATGGTCTGTCATTTGTTTCGTGGCATGAATTTATAGTTTTCCCTCTCCAATTCATTCTAAATTCGTTAAAAGAAATAAATTTCGAAAAAGTGCTTCCCTTAATAGTGTATGTCTATTGTGATATTGTTTAATATTAATGTAAAAACGGAACTATTGGAACGTTATTATCATACTTTTGAGCCCTGAGAATGATAAAAACGCCAATAAAATATTGTTACATTATTCTTCTATTATTAAATGTATGGAAATTTAATTAACAATAATGTATATTCATGTAATAATTTAATAAAAAATATTTATGTTAAAATATGCGCATAAATTTAAACACAACCTAGCGTTCAACATAACCTCACATTCGTCGCATGGCTGCCACTCGCCTCGATTTTAATAGTCACGTACATCGTAAAATTAAAAATAAACCAGACGCTATCTACCTCAGTGGAGAAATAAATCACGGAGATTCGATTTAGATCCCACATATTCAATTTTAACTACGATTTACTTTACTGGATTACTTTTATACGCACCGGGTTATAAATAATGGTGGAGACATTTATCAACACCGAAAAAAATTAACCTCCGCTTCCTGTATTATAAATTTACACAGTCCAAAAGGGTCAGCATTTGATTCGCTAAAAAATGTAGGCCATCGGTCGTGTTCCTATACCCACAGTGGTAATAATGGAACAAACGTGTAAAAATTACTACATTTTTCAACTATAAACTAAAGTCATCTACAAAAAAACGTGATGGATTTTCCAAACCAAAGTAGTATAATAATGCCTTATCTGTGCAAAGTCCTGCAAGGTTAAACGTATAATATTATATGCATAAAATTAATTATTGTAAAGCATAAACACTTACTTTTCATATCCAAAATGGTGCTATAACATAATTTTGTACGACATCATTAATCTTCGAACGTTATTCGCTGTCATAAGAAATCGGATAAAGCTTACAACGGGACTAAAAACAAAACTAAGTCACTTGGTAAAATAGACTGAACGTTACCTTGGCAGAAATACTGCGATAAAATCTGCGATAAAACTAAGTACAACGTGAAAAAGCAAGAAGGCTGAAACAATGAAATAAGCACATAATATAGAGAAAAATTAAAACATACAAACTACATTAACCAAAAATAGTTGTCTCTTACGTGGACACTCGCCAGGTAAAACACACAAACCCGTTTTCTGATCTCTAAAAAGTCCGTTCTTGCAAACACACGCAGATCCAAGTGTGCAGACATGTTGCGACTTAACGCAAGACGTTTCGCAGCTAAGAATCAAACCTCTCGTTTGATTGGCAGTACATCTGTCTGATAAAATAACGTTTTCTGATTGTTATTGTCCGTGCAACTATTTTATTATTAGTACCGTGATTGACAGCTGCAACGGTTGCGAGAAATAATAATAATAATAATAAAATAGCTCTACACAACATAATCGCGACTTGTTTAGAACTATGACTATGTCTAAAGACCAACGTTATGTTAACTAGAGTACTAAAAATGATAATTTCAAGCGATAAATGTGATTCCTGCTTGGTAATAAAGCTGAGTAATACCGGTAGTGCGTCAGTTGCAACATCATTTGAAAATTACTCCATAACACACAAATGTATGTAAAAACGTTAAAACTGATAAACAAAACCGGTACACACAATTAAATTAAATAAATCAGATTTATGCCTCCTTTAGTGCGATTTTTTTAATGTACAATAAAAACCAACCAAAATTTTTAATGGAATCGTAATAAGAGAACTGAGGTTGATAGCACACGAATTTGTACTAAAATACGTTTACAACAAAAAACGCCTAATAGTCACTAGTAATTTGATGGCAGTAACAAGCGGCCTTGGCAGAAACATCTGAAAAAATCTTAATACAATATGTTTAATTCTGAAAACTAGAAACCCATTAGTTACACAAAACTATAACTTAAATACTAAAAACCAACTTATATGTAAAATCATCAATTTAATTTGGTCAGGACAATTCTTTTCCAGCACGCACAATCCATTTTTGTGGTTGCGAAAAAGTTGTTTCTTGCAAACACAAGTCGTTGCAAATCTACAGGTCTGTTTTAAATTGGTGCAAGAAAATTCGCAACTAACCAGAAATCCTAGCGTCTCATTCTGACGGCAAGCGTCTACAGATCACATTATTTGAACCACAAATTTAAAATAATAAGGTGTTTATTACTAATATTTGTTGCAATTACACACAATAAGCAACTAATTTTTAGCACCATTTCGATGACTAACAAGCTGCGTGTGTAATATACGCGAAAATGTTATCACCTGGAAAAATTACTGAAGCGATAAGGACAAATAGTTATTTATTGCGACACTTATTATTAAAGCTCGGATTATATGCAAAATGCATATCTTCCAATTTTCGTTTTTTTGGGAAAATTCTTTGACACAACGAATTTGGTAATTTCAAATTAATTAACGGTAATTAAATTTTGCATATTTTGCATATTTTCAGACTGCTTGCATATTTGGCTGAAAATTGCATATGTATGCATATTTTTTAAAAATCTTGAAAACTTTCATATTTTTCTAGCAATGAAATTTTTAACCATTGTCGGAGCAGGTCGTCTTTGTGACGAAAAACCCAAAATGTGCCTAACAAATGTCCGTCCGGGCGTCTCGTTTTAATTTATTGGGGTTGTTGTAAACTCTATTGTAAACGTTTGAGAAGCGGTACAAACCGAAAAACAAGATGTAGCTTTAATTATTTTATTACGATCATCTACACTTCGAATCAATTTGTCTTGTCACTTCTGAAGTTCAAACGAAATGCACATTTATTCACAGTCCAACGAACTGTTCACATCTTTTAAAATATCAGTAGTTTGTTTTGTGAGTTTATTCATTATTTCTGTTAATTTATTTTTTAAAATGGCAAACAAAGTGCATTTATGGATAAAGCCATATTTAGAACTTTCATTAGAAGGTAATGGAGTGTTTTGCAAACCTTGCGGAAAGATGGTAAGTAATTTTAAAATATAACTAAGTCTTTATTGGTTTTGAATTTGGTATCATTTTACAGATATCTAGTAGCAGAAAGTATCTAATTGATCAACACTGCGGTACCCCTTTACACAAAAAAAAGTGCGACCAGCAGAAAACGTCACGTGTGTCACAGACTTCCATGGATAAGTGTTTAACAAATAGTTTTAAAAAAAGTGAAGACGAAATTTTTAAATCCGACTTGTGTAAAGCATTGCTAACGTCCAACATTCCTTAAATAAGTTGAATAATGTAAGCTTCAAGTCTTTTTTAGAAAAATATTGCAAAAAACCTGTACCCGATGAAAGTACTCTTCGAAAAAATTATGTTAACAATTGTTATATAGATTCTATGCATGAAATTCGACAACATGTTCAGAACAAATACATTTATTTTATGGTAGATGAAACCACAGATGTATGCGGAAGGTACATAACAAATTTATTGGTTGGAAGTTTATGCGAAGATTCTTTCCATAAGCCATCTTTGGTCGCAGTTAAAGAACTTGACAAAACAAACAATGTAACCATAAGTAGATTTATTCAGGAAGCTTTGGCTAATTTATATTTACCTGATTCGATTCCTTTTGACAAAGTATTATTAATGATTTCGGATGCTGCAACGTATATGGTCAAAGCTTCTACTAATTTAAAAATATTTTATCCGAATCTAATTCACTGTACTTGTTTAGCGCATGGAGTTAACAGAGTTGCCGAAGAAATAAGGAATAAATTTCCTTTGATAAACGATCTAATTAATAATGTGAAAAAAGTTTTTATCAAAGCGCCCTTACGTGTTCAGATGTATAAGGAAAAATTACCTGATACACTATTACCCCCAAAACCTATTGTAACGAGGTGGGGTACTTGGTTGGAAGCACCCTTATTTTTATTTTAAATATTTTAAAGAAATAAAAGAAATAATATTTCTTTATGACGACGATGTATCATCGGCAATCAGGGAATCTAAACAAATATTAAACAATCCAAACGTATCTCAGCAATTGTCATATATAAAAAGTAACTATAGTTTAGTTTCGGACACTATTCTAAAATTAGAGAAGAGAGGTATGTCTTTACATGAGTCAATAAGTCTAGTGGAAAATTTGAAAATAACTTTAGAGACTTCTAAGAATAATATTGGTAAGGCAGTTTATAAAAAAATTAATGAAGTGTTGGAGAAAAATGAAGGGTTTAAAATACTCTCAAAAGTACATAGAACACTCTCAGGTGATTTTCGTGACGATGTTTTAGATTTGACGCCGGACATAATTTCATGCCTAAAATATGCTCCTGTTACTTCTGTGGATGTAGAAAGAAGTTTCTCTTCGTATAAGCAAATTTTAAGTGATAGGAGACAATCATTTCTTGTAGAAAATTTAGAGAAACATTTAGTTGTATGTTTCAATGGGAATGTGTCAGATTTTTAGTAAATGCATTAATACATAGGTATGCTTAAGTTGGAGTATTATTTTAATTGTAAACATTAAATAAATATTATTTCTTAATAACTTAATTATTATTGTACGACATATTAATAAAAAAATTGGTCTAAAGAGTTTAGACAGTACTTCCCTCGCTGTCGGAAATGTGACGACTGCATGCCTATTATGTTTTTTTTCGCAGTGGATTTCAAAGAATTCGGTTTTGTAGTTCCTGATTAAATCAATAAAATAAATTTACGCATTCATTAATTTTTTTGAGTCACTCTGTATATGCAAATCCAAAAAATATGAATGGAGTGATAAATGACAAGTACAGGCTCATCATATTTTGTACATTTTAGATATGATTTATTCGGCAAACTTTCGAGCTGACGTCATCAAGTTTTTGGAGGGCATAAGCAAATATATTTTGACTAAACATTTATTATGCTCTTTATGACCTTAAAACATCTGCAAGATTTCAGAGCATTCGGTTTTGTAGTTCCTGATTAAATCAATAAAATATATTTACGCATTCATTAATTTTTTTGAGTCACCCTGTATATGCAAATCCAAAAAATATGAATGGAGTGATAGATCACAAGTACAGACTCATCATATTTTGTACATTTTAGATATGATTTATTCCACAAACTTTTGAGCTGACGTCATCAAGTTTTTGGAGGGGATAAGCAAATATTTTTTGACTAAAGATTTATGATGCTCTTTATAGCCTTAAAACATCTGCAACATTTCAAAGCATTCTGGTTAGCAGATTAAAAATTAAATTTCAAAATGTTGTTTTATAATTTTGATTTTTTTTCCAAAAATCTGGACGTTTCGGGTGAAAAGTCGATTCAGAGTTGTAAACTACATGTGTAGGACTATGTTATTTTATACAATTGAAAACCCATTTACTATGTACAATTTTGAAGTGACGTCATCGCTTTAGTGGTGGGGATGATTAGACAAATTTTGGTTAGCGTTTTACCATCTACATGATATTCTTAATATAAGTACAAAATTTCACAACAATCGGTCGAGTACTTTCGGAGATTATCTGTCTAATCAAAATCCGGGACAACAGACGGACAGACGGACAGACGGACAGACGGACAGACAGACGGAAATGGGAGACCTATTTCTTCGTCTTCTAGGGGTCATGAAAGATCGAGAAAACGTAAAAGTAGAGAGTCGGCCGACGGACTCGATTACAATACTTCCTTTGCTTACGCTCGGGAAGTAAAAATACAATTATATTTTTTTAGTATGATTATTTCTACATAATTTGCATAATCTTTTGCATATTTCCATTATTTCATTGCATATTTGTGAAAAATTTGCTGCATATATATGCGCATATTTTGACTAAATTTACTGCATATAATCCGAGCTTTACTTATTATTAAACCTAGTTTTTACAACAGGTTTCTCATAAATAAAACAAAGAAAATTCACCATACATGAACTCCGTCCAGACATCGATTGTTTTCACGATATGAACTCATGTGAAAAAGCGCATTGCGGTCGCCGTCAAAGTTTAATGTTTTTAGAGTGCTTTGAATAATATTACGATTCATACCACATACTCTGGTTTTTCGCGTCCGACTTGTTGTAGTCTCCCCTACCTTCACAAAACGCTGCTTTTGTAGTCAATCTCCCCTACCATCGATTCTTCTGTATCAGTAAAATCGACACAAATATAAAACGGGAACATTTCTAGAAGTGCTAAAAGCAAAAAATACTTATCTAAATTAACCTAAAAACAGTTTTAGCAACAATTCTTTGCAAACTAACACACACAAAGTTTGGGTTCAAAACACACAACAAACAACAAAATATAGCAAAATAATGACCCCCACACGTTGTGGATGGTTCAATTAAACAAATAAACCTCTTTTAACACAATTTTTCTACAATTTTACAACAATTATGCACTTTCGACCAACTTTTTCAAAGCCCGCTTATTTCAGACGATAATGGCGACGCTTCACTGCGCCACCCGCACCTCACCAAACTCCCTAACGGGGACTTTCGGATTTAAATCCAACACGCGATTGACGTTTCTGACGTTTGACCGACATGAAAATAATATGGTTAAAATAAATTAACTCAATCTCAAACCATGGATTTAGTCACCCAAACTAGTCTCGAGGCCCTCCTCTGTAAGTACCCAACGCGCCCCCACAAGCCCGCTTTTGCCCACTCTCTACTTCCAGTAAAAGCCACCAACTCTCAAAATCAAAACATTGACACGGCCGCCGTCGAGGCTTTCTGCGCCTTAGTAAACAAAGAGAAGGATGGCCCCCACATCGGCGTCAAGGTGATAGCCAACCGGCTTCCCTCGGGCACCGAGCGGGAGCTCCTGCAGACCCTCAACATCCTCGACACGTGCATGGGGAAGTGCGGCGGCCAGTTCCAGTCGGAAGTGGGAAAATTTAGGTTTCTAAACGAGATGATTAAGTTAGTTTCGCCGAAATATTTGGGTTCGCAGACGCCGTTAGTGGTGAAACAGAAGGTTTTGCAGTTGATGTATGTGTGGACGCTGGATTATCCCAAGGAGAGTAAAATCAAAGAAGCGTACGACATGCTGCGCAAGCAGGGGGTTATTAAGGAGATCCCGAACCCGAATATCACGGTGCAGAGTGTGAACGCGGTGCGGAAGAAGCCCGCGAACTCGGTGTTCCAGGATGAGGAGAAATCAAAAATTTTGCAGAAGTTGCTGCAGAGTAAGGACCCAGAGGACATTCAAGCCGCCAATTGGCTCATTAAAAGTATGGTCAAGGAGGTAATTGTAATGTTTTGTGATGACTATTTTTTTACCAGTGTTTGTTGGTTTAGGATGATAAACGCGCAGAGCTTAAAAGCAAACGTGTGTCGGAGCTAGAATCAGTCCAGAATAACGTCAGGTTGTTGAATGAAATGCTGGACTCTTATAAACCGGGAATTTCGTCTGGGGACGAGTTAGACTTAATTAAGGAACTGCATCAAAGCTGTGAGCGCCTAAGGCCAAATTTGATGAAGCTGGCTGCAGAAACCCAGCAGAATGAAGAAATGTTAGGTGAGTGACCTTGAGCAGGCCCTGTCACGAAACCGCGTCCATTATTGTTGTTCCAGGTGATGTTTTACAAACTAGTGATGAGCTAAGTCAAGTTTTTAGTAAATTTAACAAAATTATTATAAAAGGTATTAGTGTTTTGGACGACGGTAATAACCCGTTGCTGGATTTTGATAACTCTGTGAATGCCTCGAATGACGGTGCAAAATGCCAAAATACTGAAACCAAAGAGAATGAAATTGATGTCTTATGTGATATTTTTAATAACTCTAACATTCCTGATTCTGCTGATATTTTACAACCAACCTCAGTATTATCTTGTGGTAATTTACAACCCACTGGGTATAAAAAAAACAAACTATTTAGCGTAATTGTAGATAAAAGTAACGGTGGGCAAGAACCTGAAGTGAACAGATTCAAAGCGCTGGAGGATCTAGACGCACTGAGTGAGCATTTGTTCAAAGAAAACCTCCAATCCACCAGACAAAGCAGTTTTAGCAAGTATACAAAGTCACGCGAGACGTGTCACCATCTCACTGTATTTTCCAGGAATCAAGACAAAATCCCCATGAATCTCCTATCAAAAATCTCAGAAATGAAGCCCCCGCAACCCCTCCCTAAACAAGAAAACTCCATAAATGAATCCCTCAATCTAGACTTAAATTATTTAATTAGTAAACCTAAAGACGAACCCAAAGCCGGCGCGACCGAAAACTCGGGCGACGATTGTTTGGTGGATTTAGCGGACGAGAAGCTCCTGGAAGCCGACGAAAGTGCAATAAACGACAACCAAAGAAAACTTAGTATAAGCGAAACGACTGTGAAAAACCACGACGTCAAGTTGAGCGACATTTTCATCAAACTGGAGGACATCAAACCCAGCACTGTCCCCCCTCTAACAATTCTAAACGACAGGAACGGGATTAGCATAACGTTGCACTTTGTTAAAGACAAGCCCAGGAACGACGTGCACGTTTTCGTCGTAACCACCATAAATAAAAACGAGATGCCTTTAACGAACTATTTATTTCAAGCTGTTGTACCTAAGGTATGAATAATTCGTGTGTTTGTAAATTTTTAGTGATGGTTATTTTCAGGGTTGTAAGTTAAAATTGCAGCCCCCGTCTGCGACGACTCTTCCATCCTACAACCCCTTCCTACCCCCCGCCGCCATAACGCAAATCATGGTAATCGCATGTCCTGAAGATGTACAACTGTTTCTCAAGTTTATTGTAAGTTTTGTGATGGACGACGAGACCTGCACGGAAATGGGCGAAGTTGAAAATCTTCCATTGGTCTAAAGTACTTACTTAAGGCACACAGATTAGTCAAAGTATATTTTTTCTTTAATTAATGTCTAAAATTATATCAATGTGCTTTACTATTAAGTCGTTCAAACTTAATGGAGTCAATTTAATCCACGGGTTAGTGTCATTTTATTAGTGTCAAACTGTATTCAGAATTTAAAGGGATTATTTGTTCGTTAATAACCGCTATGACATTAAGATGCGCATGCGCTTTTTGAGGCATGTCTACGACACCTTTAAATTTACTGTACAGTTTAAGCTGCACACTCACTTAAATCTCATGACGTTTTTTACACTGTTTATGTTTACAAGAGACAGGAGAGCAATGCGGAAGTGCGGCTTTATACATATAGTTCCGACTTTACTTTATTTTGAGTACTTAGAGACTGATAAGTATTTATAGGATTTTTTTCTCAACAAGTAAACAATATAGATAGACACGTCTTTTATTTTTAAAGACTCGTCAGTGTGAACTAATCCACGACATGACTTTATTTCACACTGCTACCATTGTTTAAGTATATTATAGTTGGACAACCTAATACAAATTTTACTTCGCCTAAATAGTGAGCTTTAGGACAAGGAATCCAGGCGGCGTGGGACAAATTTTTCGTCAACGCGCATTTTCACTACAGCGAGCCAACGTATTAGGTTTATTATACTCTAAATCAGATGGCGCCATCAAACATTAGCAAAGGCAAACACCCTTCACTCTGCTCTTATACGAGGAGTTATCCATAAATCCATAATTAACATTGTTCCGTAAACAGTAATGTGTATAAACATATATGTACAAAATATGAAAATATACTTGACATAAAAAATATGAAGCAACGCGTTGTAAAGTGATACGAAAGAATTGAATTTGACGCCTATTTTTATTTGACTATATCTGAAGACTGACAGAAACTTTCCAAGGGTTTTTAAACTGGTATAATTGTTTAGTTTTACAAGATTAAAGTAAAACAAGATTTTAAGTAAAATTTAGATTCGTGGTGTTACAAAAATATTAACACAAAATGAAAATATATGTTCAAAGTAAATAACAGAATGACATAAACTTTCGGCGTTAACATTACAAATAATTACAAGAGAGAAAAAAAACGCATAAAGAACTTAAGAGGCATGTTTGTAATATCGAGTTGTTAAAGGCTGCTTTGAAGACTGTTTCTATGAAAAACAATTGCTGGTAGATTTTCTTCCAAAAATACGAGATAACTAATTGTTTTTTGAACTAGTTTCCGTAACTTCTAAAATTTAAAAAGGATACGCCGTTCTGCTGTAATAAAATCTAGAATAAGGTCAAAATCACACTAATATTACATCTGATTTTGTTAACCACATGAATATAATTTACATTAAAATAAGTTACAGACATTGTTTGAAATGTTTATTATAGTTCGAAAACAATATAAAATAAATAAATAAAATGTGCAGTTTATAAACTTCAGAATTTTAGTATAAAAATAATTCTATTTGAAGCTTTATTTTGTCTGTTCGATTTTATTGGGTGTATTGGGCCCCTCTCGGGATATAACACCGACATCATTGCACTGACCCAACGTTCTTCAACCCATGGGATGATTTATTACTTCTGTTATGCTGGCCCTACACACAGCGATTTGGTTTTCGGATTTTCGGCTAGATCTGCACAGTTAACTCTTTGCGCACTGCACACTGACGTAGAGTATTTTGTTCACGCCAGCATCAAAAATATTACGCCGAAAGCACTTCTTCAAGTGTTATTTTTTTTAAGATGTCATATTTGTCAGCGTTTCCAAAATTTTCTTCTTTGCACAGGTCAACTAATTTTTCGTAAACCGCATTTTAAAATTTTTGTTATTGTATTTTTTACTTTTTAATTTTCTAAGGCATGAAAAAATCCCTTATAGGTTTCCATGAATTTATTAACGAAATCAACTGATAACTTGCGCGCCATTTTGTGTTAATTAATACCAATAGTGATTATGATAATTTTATAATTATCATTTTAATGAAATTGTGTTCTTCACTTCGCGAACGACAGCAAACAATTTAAAATTACCGCTAGTCAAGCACCTGAAAATCCATCTCTCCCAAATATGTCTTTCTTGGCACGATTTGTAATCCGAAGTCTCCCTCCACATGCAATTTTTCGTCGCCTGAGAACTTGTTTGATCTACAGACCAAAACACACTCAGGCCAATATCGGCTTTAAGCGATTTATCTATAAACCGATATTCGTTAGAGTTGATGTGATACACATCCACTACGAAGAACTAACCCATTTCGACCATTGGACTTTACAACGAATAAGTGAACAAAGTTCTTGAACATCTTAACGATTTAATACATAATGTTCCCGAATGACAAAATTTACATTTCAAATTGTATTATCAAATTACACCCTCCAAAATTTGTCACGAACAATGAAATGACGCAATCTCCAAATTTTACAATAGTAAAATTGTAGTTTCGCCCCGTTTACGGTTTATGCATCCGTGTCGAGTTTTCACCTTGGACGTCAAGATTTTTGGAAAAAAAAATCAACATTTTTATAATGTTATTTAAATTTTAAAAAGTAGAATAGTCCTGATCTTGTGATTTATACCTAAATACGCTATTGGGATTTTTCGGCTTGTCGATTTCTCGATTTTTCAACTTTATGTGTCTCAATTTTTCAATATTTCAATTTTGGGCTTTTCCGATTCCTCCATTCTTTAAATTTTCAATTTCTCGATTTTTTTATTTTTCGATTTCTCAATCTTTCGATGTTTCAATGATACGATTTCTCAATTTTTGTCCTCTTCAATTTTACGGTTTTTAAATATTTCGATTTTTCAATTTTTCAAATTTTCACGTTTCTAAATTTTCATTTTGCCGATTTCTAAAGTATTTTTTTTATTTGTCCATTTCTGGATTTCCTAAAGTTTCGATTTTTCACATCTTCAATTTTGCTTTTTTAGATTTTCAATTTCTCAATTTTCCAATTTTTTGAATATTTCTTTCAGTTATGAGATTTTTCAATATTTCAATTTTTCGACTTTTCGATTTTTGAATTGATGGATTTTTTTTGATGTCTCGCTTTTTTACTTTTTGGATTTTCAATTTATTGTAAACTTGAGATTTTTCAATTCTGCGACTGTTTAATGCTTCAATTTTTAAACTTTTCGATGTTTTAATATTTCATTTTTTAAAATTCTAGGTTTTTCGATATCTCGAGTTTTCAGGTCTTCTATATTTCAATTTTTCAATTTTTTGAATTTTAATTTTTGATTTTCCAGTTTTTCTTTTTTAAAATTTTTCGATTATTCAATTTTTTATTTCTCAATTTATCGAATTCAGATGTTTCGTTGTTTTGATTGTTCAGTTTCTCAATTTTTCAATTTTTAACTTTCCTTTTCGGCTTCCGACTCCTCAATTTCTCGATCCTCCGATTTTTCGATTTCTTGAAGTCTCAGTTTTTGAATTTTTCGATGTTTCGATTTTTTTCTTTTGAGCTCAATTTCTGGATTTTCCAATTTTTCAATGCCCCGATTTTTCAAGTTTTCAATTTTTCAAATTGAATTGGATTTCTCGATTCTTCAATTTTGCGATATTTTAATTATTCATTGTTTTAAATTTTAGTTTTTTCGATTTCTCGATTTTTTGACTTTTCAGTTCTTCAGTATTTAAATTTTTTAATTTTTCAAATTTTTGCGTTAAATTTTCAGTTTTCTGATTTCTCAATTAATCTATTTTTGATTTTCCCACTTCTCAAAGTTTCGATTTTTCAGTTCTTCAATTCTTCGATTTTTCGACTTCGCTTTATTGGTTTGTCGATTTCTCAATTTTTGGATATTTCTTTCAGTTTTGATATTTTTCAATACTTCGATTCTTTCATTTTTCGACTTCTAGATTTTTCTATTTTTAATTTTTGGATTTTCGGTTTTTTGTTTTTTATTTCAATTTCTCAATTTTTCAACTTTTCCATATTTTAATTTTTAAATTTCTAGATTTTTCGGTTTCTCGAGTTTCCAGTTCTATACTTTAATTTTTTAAATTTCCGAATTTTTAAATTCTTTGAGATCTCAATTTATTGAGATTCGGATGTTTCGATCTTTTGATTATTCAATCTCTCGCTTTATCAATTTTTCCATATTTAAGTTTTCGATTTTTCGATTTTGGCCTATTTCGGTTTCTCAATTTTTTGGATTTTTCGACTTCTCGATTTTTCGACTCCTCGATTTTTTTGTCTTTTGTAGTTTTCGGATTTCTCAATTAATCTATTTTTTTATATTCCCATTTCTCCACTTCCTCAAGTTTCGATTTTTCAGTTCTTCAGTTTTGATATTTCGTTCAATTTTGTGATTTTTTAGTTTTTCGATTTCTCAATTTTAACTTTTCAATTTTTAAATTAGTAACTTTTTTCGATTTTTTGAGTTTTCAGTTCTTCTATATTTCAATTTTTCAATTTTCGGAATTTTTAAATTTTCGATTGTCCAATTTTTTTTTTATTTTTCGATTTTCCAATTTTTCGATGTTTCGATTTTTGAATTAACCGATTGTTTAATTTCTCGATTTTTAAATTTTAGATTTTCCAATTTTTATTTTTTTGATTTTTTTTATGTTTCGATTTCTCGATTTTACAATTTTCCCATATTTGAATTTTACAGTGTTTTAAATTTTCGATTTCGAGGATTTACTGTGTTACAGTAGTCATCAGTCATTACTCATCAAGAACGATTATTGCTGTGCGTTAAAATGCCTACATACTGATAAGCACGTACATACAAGACACATTTAAGGCTGTTTTAGTATAATTTTTGCAGTTTTAAATTTATTTCTTGATGTCTAAATCGTATATATTTAAATGGTGATGAATATTTTGTGATACAATCTTAGGATAAAATGCATTTTAGTTTCAAAAATAATATGTATTTAATGATTTGACTACTGTTAATAAAAAAAATACGTAAGTAGATGTTCATATTAAATTAATTTGGTGTTCATAGTTTGATGATAATCCATAGTTATTCTGGAGGCAAATTAGATGACTTGTTATGGTATGCACTACATATATGTACATATATTACAGTAGTCTTCAACACGTACGTTTGCTTATTTTGTGACTGCTCCCCGTACAACGTACTGATTAATACGTCCGTTTACTACCTTATCGACATCACGTGCTTACGGACTATTTTTACCCCCTTTCGTAAGGTACCGCCACTTCATAGTGAAGCGAGTGAAATGTAAAATATATATTCATTCTTTTCTATATGGGATTATGGGAAAGTGATTGTCCGTATAGGTTGTCCAATAACATACTTAAACAATGCTGCTACCCTTGTTCCTCTTTTTACACAAAACGAATGTACATTAATTAAAAAATTACAAGTATTCTGGAATAAATGCTACTTAAACAGCACAGTCCCTGAATGCCAACGCCGTTATGGCCTTTTGATGTCCTGCGTACTCTTTTTCCATTGAACCTGTCTCAATATTCCATATTTTCGCACACCCGTCAGACGAAGCTTAAAAAAAAAGTAGTTTGAGGAGGCACAAAATTGTTTTTTAAGCACCTGTGAAAACGTACTGCGAATCCGAACTAAAAGCGGCATCCCACACCCACCTCTGGTTCTCAACTTTTAATTCCTGGCGCAACGAAAAATCACCCGTGTTCCAAATTTTCGCAGTTTGGTCTGCAGACGTTGTTACTAAGTACCTACACAAATCATTTTTTTTTCAATTAAGTATTTAATAAATAAATTAATTTATTTACCGTGAATCCGGGCTGAACTCACACTTGAGCGCATGCCGCTTATGCGCCTCAAACTTATGCTTAGGGTTCATTTTCGTGGGCTCGTCGATCTTCCCTGACTTCAAACTCCAAATATAACACCTACCTTTGTTATTAACCGCGGCCATGTGAGTCCCCAACGGGTCGATCGCAATATCCAAAATCATGGCGTCGCTTTCGGGAATCTACTCAAAATCAATCAACTTTACACTTCACCAACCTACCAGCTGCTCGTTGTGGTCGGTTTTGAGGTCCCATCGGTGAATAATCCCGCTCTGGTCCCCCACAAACAGCTCCACTTGATTCGGGTGCAAACACACGCACGTCACGGGTGCCAGCACTTCGAAAATTTTCGGGCATTGGGTCCCTTTGGAGCGCAGGTCCCAGAGTCTCACGCGGCAGTCTTCGCCCCCGGAGTACATCCACTTACCGTCGACTTGGAAGCCCACGTCGGTCACGTTTTTCGTAGTCCCGTCGTAGTTGACGATGGCGTTGGGGTTGTTCGAGTTTAAATCGTACATGTAGATGTGCTGGTAACTGGCGGCTGCGATGAGTTGCTTGTCGGGGGTTATTTCCAGGGCGTTGACTTGCTGAAGACGGGGGTGAGTTTGGGGTAGGTTTGTTGGAGGGTCTTACCGATTCGGCGTGCTGCATAGTCCGGTAGCAGATCCCTGAGTGGGTATGCCAGAGTTTGATTGTGTGGTCGTAGCCCCCGGTGGCCAGGAGCACCTGGTCCATTTCGGATTTGTCGAACATCGTGGTGTGTGAATGATTAAGTAAAGAGTGTGGTTAATTATTATTATTGTTACAACATTGCGGTAATTATTTGGTTAAAGAGTTTGAATTTGTCCAAATTTGAGTGAGGTTATGTGTACTCAAATATGTCCAGTGTTACCAACCTTCGTAATGTCGAATTCCCTACATGGACGATAAAAAATCCCTTTTCAGCCTCAAAATTATCTTTTGCATATAGGTACCTACCTATTACTACCATTACAAATTGATACGATTTCTCTCGGATCAAGAAAACACTTAATCTACTAATTTCCTCCCCAAAAACAACGCTCCTTTCTTTTTAACTTCTTTTAAAATAATAATATAGTAAACAAACATTATAATTTCAAAATTGACAAGACAAGGTAACAAAAATATAGTTCTATAATTACAGTACAAATAAAAGACAAAAATCTAGCCTTTTCATCAGTGTTTAAATGAATACATTGCAACATTATGTAACTGCATGGCCTTGTGTTATTGGATACTTAACAACATCTAGTTCTGTTGCTTCTAAAAAGCTCCTAAAAACAGCAACAGCGTTTAAAGAACTCTCCCCAATCCTGTTTCTTCTTTTGGTCTTGTCAATGACAAGTTGACCTACGTTTTACATTTAGTACATTTTGTCTACTCTTGACTCAACACACAACCAAGACCTACCAAACTATGTTGCTCTTTTCTAAGCTGAAAAAATTATGATTTATCAATTTTCACATTTTCTTTGCTGCGTTGTCAGCCTACTTAAGAATGTTTCTAAAAATTCCCCAAAATTGCCGACTTTTGTCAAAAAATTCCCTTTTTCCCTTTCTTATCCTAAAATTCCCTTAAAAGGGAAAATTCCCTGCAGTTGGCAACACTGAATATGTCACTTGTCATTAGTTGTTGTGTCGAGATCACGGTTGTAGAATAGATAGGTTGATCAACGCCACCTAGAAACAAGGCCTTGCCACTAAAGAATTGATCTGTCAAGATGGCGTCAATAGTAGGTTTCTAGACAGCGTCAACCCATCGCCGTCAAGCTGCAGCTGCGCAAAAGCAAGATTTTTGAATTTGAAATTGTGGTATATTTTTATTGTATTTGTTTTCTTTTGTGAATAATTGTTTTTCGTTTTGTGTTTTTGTGTTTTTGTGTATTTGATTTGTTCCTCGTTGTAATTTTAAGTGAACAATGCCTTTTAAGTGTTGTGTCAATCAGTGTAAAGACCAGAAAACGTTGTTTTCCTTTCCAAAAGAGGAAAGTCGGAAAAACGAATGGCTACACCGATTAGGCCGTAAGGATTTGCTGAATAAAAATATTAAAAATTATAGGGTACGGTACAAGAGAAGCGTTAATATAAACTTACAAATGATCAAATGGAATATTTATTATTATTAGGTATGTGAACTTCATTTTCAAGAAGGGGATGTAAAAAGAAGTGAAGAAGTTTATAGTGAGGAAACCGGCCAGTTAATGGCAGTACCCTTAGATCGCCCTCGTTTAAGAAAAGGTGAGTTTTCGATAAAACTTTCCATAACCAAAATTTTCCAAAATCCATTTTCTGCTCTTAGAACCAACCTAATCTCAAACGTTCATCTATTCCTCAATATTTCCTTATTTCTAGATGTAACACCTATTTCCCTCCCTTCAAGATCATCCTTTCAAAAAATTCCTCCAAAAAGAATTTCTCCAGAGAGAAAACGACAGAGGCTGGAATGCGAAATGCTACAGTCAGCAATCGCAACCAGCATTGCCTCTGAAGAAATATATTGGAAGGAGAGAACCTTTTCCAATATTGCTGATGTGACTAATTTTTTGACAAAACATCCCCTATCAGATTGGACCGCCTCATTTAAGCCCGAAGCAATTTTTCTGTTTTTCATTTTGGAAGATGCTAATTCTTCCGAGTTAAAGTGTGGCTTGAAAATTTCAAACGAATTGAAATTAATATTATTACATGGTAGTGTTGAAAGCAGCATTTTAAATTTTTTCTCGCCTTTGACCAATGCAGTTCAGTTAGAAAATGGACTAAAGGAAATTGCAAAATCATTGACTGACCCAATAGATAAGGGTGTTGATGAAAAACTGAACTTAGTTAATAAAACATTAAATAGTTTGTTGTCTGAATTGCCACCAGAGACACACAATACAATAAAATTCATAACTGATCAAGTGAATTTATTGAAAACTTCAAAAAACCGACACAGATATTCATGGGAAACTGTTTTATTTTCTAGTTTAATACACTCAATTTCGCCACATTGTTATAAGTTTATACAAAATTCAGGAAATTTAATACTTCCATCTTCAACAACAATAAGAAGAGTTTGTTCAAAATTTTCTGGAGATCCACAATTAGAACAGCACAATGCCCACTTTCTTCATTATATAAAAATGAAACAGCAATTCCTAAATGAAAATGACAAAATTGTTGCAATATTATTGGATGAAATCCATATCAAACCATATATGGACTACAAAGGTGGTACTGTTGTGGGGAAGTCTTACAACAGCGCAGATTGTGCTACCACTGCTCACGTTTTCATGTTAAGTGCAATACGATCAAGTTATAAAGATGTTGCACATATTTTACCAGCGTGTAGATTGACGGCTGAAGTTTTGCATGGTTTTCTACAAAAAATTATATTAGAATTAGAAAACATGGGCTTTAAAGTAGTAACTGTGGTCACTGATAACAACGCCATAAACAGGAAGGCAATGAGTTTCTTTTCAAATCCACCACAAATTTGTGAGAGCTATAAACACCCTGCAGATAATGACCGACCACTTTTTTTCATTATTGACACAGTGCACATTTTGAAAAACATCCGGAACAATTGGCTGAACCAAAAAAATGGCCAAATAATGGTATATCCCGATTTTGATGACTTTTCCATAAAAAGGGAAGCACGGTTTGAGGCAGTAAGAACTTTACATCTGGTAGAAAAAGATAATCTGCTCAAGTATGGTTATACACTGTCCTTGAAGGCACTTTTTCCCACTACGATTGAGAGACAAAATGTAAAACTTGTTCTTCAGGTGTTCAACCAATCGATCGTAACAGCTCTCAGACAGTTTGGGCCTAGAAAAAATTTGATAAGTTTTGAAGACACTGCCATTTATCTACAAATTTTTTGTCAATGGTGGGATATTGTCAACACAAAAACTTTATTAAAGGGCAAAAGATCTAGAAACATCTTCCAAGAACCATTGACAAAAAACTCAGCCCAAATTTATGAGTTCTTAAATAAATTTACATTGTGGCTGGATCACTGGAAAACGTTTGAAGATGGCAAATTAACAAAAGAAACCCATCATGCCATATCTCAATCTGTGTCTGGACTGATCAAACTTTCAGAATATTGTCTACATCATCTAGATTTTAATTTCTTCCTTTGTGGAAAAATTCAAACTGATAAGTTGGAGGAGCGGTTTGGAAAATACAGACAATATTCAGGAAGCCACTATCAAATTAGTCTTCGGCAAGTGCTGGAAAATGAGAAGAAAATTAGGATGCAAAGTCTTGCACCTTTGTTAATTAAATCAGAGAACGTTCACCTGCAAATTTCTGCACAAGATGTACTCAACTCTAGTACCAGTGCTGACGATAACGATATTAAAGGCTATGATTGTTCTGCTTTTTTCTTTGAAGCTCTTGTGAACAACAGCGACTTAGATGAAATTCCAGATTCTACTTGGCCCATTCTAACATTTATTGCGGGCTATGCTTCTTACGTCGCTAAAAAGAAATTTACTTGTGGTTACTGTGAGGAATTTTTAATTACCAATAATAATAGACTACCTTTTGAAAACCTAGACTACAGCTTAATTGATGTCAGCGATAGAGGTGGTTTATGTTATCCCACAGAAGATGTTGTGACGATTTGTGCATACACCTACAAAACCGTGGAAAAACTTTTAGCGAACGAAGAACTTTTTTTGTCTGAAATAAATCAAAAACAATTTGTTCGAAATGTGACATTTGAAAACATGTCAGATACTGACTTTTTTTTGGGGCACAACTGCCAAAAACACGATACATTTGCTATAAAAAAGATTATAATCAGTTGCACGACCAACATTTTGCTAAACAATTACTGCAAAAACAAAAATAATGTAAATATAAAGACACAACTAACCTCTTTGAAGAGAGGTAAAAGACATTAACAACATCAGATTTTGCCGAACTATTTGCTGCAACTCCAATTATCCGGTAATTTTATGTCATTTGAAGCGTATAATCTAAATAAATACTTTTCTATTTCTTGCAGTAACATTTTATGCGGCTTTGACGTCGAATTTTCCAAACGTAAACAAACCTTCTATTTCCGCCATTTTGTTTCTGCGCACAGGCCTTGTTTCTAGGTGGTGTTGGGTTGATACACTAGCATATGTACATTTGCATATCCCTGGTCAGCGACGCCAATTGTCGATCGCGTCGCCTGGTTTTTGACGTTTTAGGGACACAGAACTCTATAGGCATCTGTCTATAACCGATGTAATTAATAAAAGAAATCGTACTTATCGACTCCGATCAAATGTCATTTACAAATTTTGTATTGTTCATAAAGCAATGTAAACGAAAATCCCCAAAATAACTAGAATGATTTCCGCTCGACAAGGTAGAGGCGCTAGCTGTATGTGTCCTTTCCATGGATATAGGGATCGAAAAGAAGCGTCGCCATCCCAAGCCATTAGTGTACAAACCTATCTACACAGAACACTCACTAATCTATCTATTCTACAACCGTGGTCGAGATAGTAAGGGATTTTTTGCGATATACCAAGGTATGTGGATTATTGGCGAACACATAATAATTTTATAGACAATAGCACGACTGTGTACAATCAGAAAAAGTTTAATTATTTAAAATGTTTTTACAGGGAGCAATGCTGGCGTCATACAAACCAACAAAAGCTTCTCGAGTTTTGTTACATTTACAAGTTATTGTTACACGCGTCTTGATGCAGTCCCTAAAGCCGGACAGGTCTCTATAAAACAGATATTTTATTAACTGTAAGTTAATACCAGCACAAACTGATTATATTACCTGCATATCGTAGTAGTAGCAAATCCATGGTCTCTATACCACATAGCTTTCTCTTTTATTACTTCTTCACACCGACTTAGCGATTCGGTTTTCTCTTCTAGAT